TGTACAATATTAGTCTAATTCTGAATTGAATGCAAATGTTGCTTACTCCCTTGATTCGTTCAATTTAGCATTGTTCACTTGCATTCCTTTCCCCAACTTTTTGAGTGTTGCCAGAAAAGGGAGAAGTAGTTGGCTTTCTAAATATGCATATGTTCACGGGGAGTTTGTTTCCTTTAAATACCTTAATGCATGAACTCAGGGGGAGTTTTTCAAATTGGTTTCAATTCAACATACTTGTGTGCAAATGTTTACATTGTTTATCATATTTTGAAAGCCTTATTTGTCAACATCAAAAAGGGGGAGATTGTTGGCCTTGAATGCCAAAACTCACCACGTTATGATGTGCCAAATAAGTCTTCCAAGTACTGACCTTTTGCAGGCTTAAACGACACACCCGAACCTCTCCTAACTTGGTTGATTTCACCGAGAAATGATTCACTCGAGTTTAGATTTGAAAAATGGAAGAGCTTGATAAAATGATGTTACACTTATGCCCTTGCACTTAAAAACATTTTCCAAAAGTTTCTAAACATTGCATTGATTGGGTCATTTTTCAAAATCGGGAATAAAATCATTTTTGGGTTAGAACCAGACAAGACGGTACCCTATACCATGCTAACGGTACCTAGATACTGTTAGGCTAATCGGTACAGTAGGTAGGTACCGCCTAGCCAAATTTTGGCTAAGTGCCTAAGTATTCAAACGGTACCCCATACCGCTACATTAAGCAGCTACCGACCGTTAGAACCATAGCTCAGCCCAAAATGAACTATGGCAGTACCCGCTACCATAAACTTTGTTAGGTACCGACCGTTAGAACCATAGCTCAACCCAAAATGAACTGTGGCGGTACCCCCTACCGTTTTAACGGTACCCATGTACCGCCTGAGGCTTAGGAAATTCAAATTATAACTTCCAAACGGGACTTTTCACGGGACCCTATACCGTCAGTAACGGTACCCCCTACAGTGACGATACCTGACTACCGTTACAGGTACTGGATCCGTTGGGTTACTGTTCCTGATTGATTTAATTAATCCCAATCAACCTAATTTGTCTCCCAATGGCTCCTTAACAGTTCAAACACATTTTAAACTTCCTAAACACTATAAATACCCCTCCTAAGCCTCTCCTAAACATACAACAACACTCCTTAACATACATTACATTTCTTAAGCTGATTATTGACCAATTGAGTGTTCTAAGCTTTAAAGTTCCTGATTTTTTCTTCTCTTTTGAATTTAAAGCTTTGATCCTTATATTTTCAACACTCACACACCAAGCGCTTTTGTGTTTCATTTTCTTATCTTGCTCATAGGCAATTGTTGTTGTTTTTATATTTTGTTCTTCTCCTACCCAATCTTATTATATACTACTTTGGTAGAGAAGCAACAAACACTTTTCATTACTTTATAAAAGGTGTGGATAGCCTTTAAATCCTCATTGTAAGGTTGAAGATAGCCTCTAAATCTTCAGTTGTAAACGGTTGAGATAACCGGTATAAAATCTCATTTGCTTATTGGCAAGGGTTGTTTGCCAAACCTCGTTTGGGTCTTCTTAGTGAAGCCAAACAAGTTAGTGGAGGTTAAATCCTTGAGGAGGAGCCTCGAGGTACTGGAGTAAGGAGTTCCTGAACTAGTATAAAATTGATTGTGTCTTTTTTTTCTTTTTCATATTTATGTTGTTCCTTTTCCGCTACTACTTTGCGCCTAAGTTTTTGTTTTTACGAAAAACTATCAAACACCCTAATTCACCCCCTCTTTAGGTGTAAACCGACTTTCAATTGGTATTGGAGCAGGATTTTTTCTCTTTTTCAAAATCACTTTTTGAAAACCACTTACACGACACATGGATTCCATGAATTCTCAAAGCATCACCAAGCCACCATTTTTCAATGGTGATAACTACAGTTGTTGGAAAATGCGAATGGAGAACTTCATTGAATCCATCAATTTTGACTTATGGGTTGTTACTACTGGTGGTCCCAAAAGTGGTGAGATACAAAGTCTAGAGGGTGGGTGAATAGACTTTGTTACAATTTTAAAACTTTTTCGTTTCTTTTGAAAACGTGAAAATGAGTATTAATCTAAAGTTCTTGTGAACTTAGATTGAGTGCGGAAGTTGGTGGGTTATTGGAGAAGTAATCAATATGGATGGGTTAGTTTCACAGTTAATGTAAGTGCAAGTAAAGATAAAAGAGTGAGACACACAAACTTTAACGAGGTTCGAAGGTGCGGTAATCCTTCTACGTCCTCAAAATCCACTATGTAGTTGGTCGTTGAATAATGAACCAACAATTACACTTGTGTGAATTTCTGCACGGTATATCTTCGGAAGGCCAATGTTGTTACTGCACTCGTGCAGGCTTTGTTGTTCCTTCGAAGGTCACACTTCTTCAACAACTGCAAGATCCGAACAATAGGACTTGCAAGATCAACTTTAAGAAAAGTTGATGTGCCCCGTTTTAATCAAGAAGTTTGATTAAAAGTTGTATCCTTCAACGTGGTATGGTACTTGAGGCAAGGAAACCTTCAAGTGTTTACACTATAGCTCTTTGGAAGGAGGAGAAGTTTGCTTCTGGATAAGGAGTTTAGAAATCTCTCTTTATCGGACTTTTTGGCTAACTATAAATGAGATAGTTTTTGTTCTTCGTTGTTGTACTTTTTGCTTGTTATCTCATGCACATTTTTCTCCAGTCTTCCATGGAAGCTATATATAGCTGGGTGAATAATCTATCCTTTGAAGGGAATAGACTATCCGTTGCATTTGCTGGCTTCAATTTTGAATGAAGAGTGAGATTGAGGATTCTTCATTGGAATGGGTGTTTGGACATGCCCAATTGTTTGAGAACGGATTCCCTTTTCACAAAATCCGTCTTCTAGTTGTTGTTCAAGAATTCTGGACTGTAGCTCTTTATTGAGTGGAGTATCCATTTTGTCTTCTTGTGTTTGTTTAGAAATTCTGGGCGAGCTCTTCAATTTGTGAGGTTCAGACCTTGTCTTCAAGTCATTTGTTCTTGAATCAACTTAATTATCCTCAATCTAGCCGTTGAAAATCAAGAATTTGATTTTTCCTTACCAACGGGTAGAATTTCTTCATTCATGACTTAGATAATTTTCTAAGTCTTTTCTCACTAGTCTGCTTCTGAGAGTTCCGATCTTCCTTGAGACATCCGGTTCTTGGCTGACGATTCCGGATTAGTCATCCTTAGACTTCCTGGTGAGAAAGAGATCCGCGCTAGTCTTCCGATCCGGATAACTTAGCCTTCAGCGGGTCGTAGTGAGAGTTCCGGGTATAACGAGCATTCCGGTTTTTAGAATCTTCAAAGTAAACTTCTTTGAGAATTCTTTACTTGTCTCTTACATTTCCGAGCAACAATTCCAATTTCCATATCACTGAATTTGATTAAGTCTTCAAAGAGTAATCATCAAACCACAAAGTGAAATATCACATGTTTTATTGGAAATTTCAAGAACTCGGTTTTAACAATATTTCTAAAAAGAAAATTTACATTGCATATTGGGGGTGACCTAAAGTCGCTATTACAATCTAAATACATCATCATCAAAATCTATAATTTTTCCCAACAATTTCCCCGTTTTTGATGATGACAAACAAGTGTTTAAGAGTTTCGGTCGCTGTACTGAGAACTAGTTTTATAACTTTCTTTTCGTTTCTCATAATATACAGCTTGTTAACAAAAACTCTTAAACAAAATACAATTCAAAATACAACAGTTCCTAAACCAAGTCTTGTCTTGAGATTTGTGATATTTTTGCCATTTTGTTTCTTTATCACCAGCTGATTTTGCTTGAAAGTTCAAATGGCATTGTGTTTAATGGATCTCAATATCCAAAGTGGACACTGAGACCTTGGAAGCAACAACTCTTTAAAAAAAATAAAAACAAAGAAAATTGTTTTTGAAAGGGAAGGAGAGGAGGGGCGGTGAAAGGCAAGAAAAAGACAGAAAGACAAGAAAAAATTCTGGAAAAAAAAAATTGAAAGGAAGATAAAAGAAGGGTTTTGAAAAAGAGTTTATAGGAGAATTATGGAAAAAGAGAAAAATGGTGACTAGGGAAGAAAAGAAAAAGATTAGAAAATAGAAGAAAAAAAATTTAGACAAGTCGGGGAAGAGAGAGAGGCTTGCATCACAGCAGTTTAAAAACAGGGGGAGGAGAAGTAGGAAAAGGGGAAGAGGGAGGAGAAGCGGAGACCTGAAATCAATTTTTAAAAAAATTAATAGAAGGGGAGAGATGAAAGTAGACCTGAATGAATCTTTTACCGGTTACCAAAGTGTTGAAACTGTTTCAAATGAAACCAGTTTCATTTGGTTTGAAAAAATGTAACTGTTTTGGTTTCGCTAAGCCCAAAAGAATGGCCCAAAAAAATCTATGCACTAAAGGAAAATTATTCTTATTGGGTTCTCAAGGCCCAAAATAAAGTCTATCATTTTTCATTCCCTAAAGTTCTAAATTCTAATTAGGAGGAGGTAGTACCAAAAAAATATAAAATTCTTTTTAAAAGAAAAGTGGTACTAATTTTCCAAAGTCCTGTACATTAAAAAATCCTAAGGAACAGTACTTTTAGAGCAGGAGTGGAAATGAACTAAGGATTGAAACTCAATTTAAGAAGGCAGATTTTGTAGAGTACCTGAATCGGAGATCTCCAACTCTAGTACAAGACTTGATATATCCATCTTCCATTGCTTAGAGTTCATCAGTAGTTCGTTACCAAAAACAATAATTAGCCAAAAACAGTTAAGTTCCCCCTGAATTACATCCCCCCTGAATGTATGCACGCATAGTAAATCTCAAAAATTATACTTAAAGGAGATATGTTTAAGCATAATTAAGAAATGTATCGAAAATGTTTAAACAAGAAGGTGTTTTCATCAAAACATAAATAATGTGTTCAAGACTTCCCCCTGTTTTGATGAAAAGAGCTTTCAACTCCTCTTGCGCTGGGCAGATTCGGCAGCCTCACAAATTCCTTGCATCACTCCACACTCAGCCTTGATACGCTTCAGATTGTTATATTTTTCCTTTTGTTGATCCTCATTTGTGAAGAGTGAAGCAATGGTTCCTAAGGCTTCTGTTCCATCAAACTCATTGTTTGATAGATGTTGAACCGAGTTTTCAAGGTTGCTCTGCTAGGCCTCCAATATCAGTTCAGTCATGTTCAAATGAGTTGGAATGTACCCGAGCTCTCCTTCTTTTTCTTGAATCGGAAGTCTTGGAATTGGAGGTAAACTCTTGTGTTGGACAATCACCTCCAGCTTGTGTTTGGCAGTGAAGGTTCCAAAGTGCTTGAAAAGCTTGAATGCTTCCTTCTGATTATCAGCAATAACCTTAAGGTAATCTTGGGTGACCACTTGATTTGCTGATGACACTGCCAGGGCTGACCTGATGTCCATCTGGAGAAATGACATTTGCTTTTGAACACTGGTTGTGACAGTGGCAATCTGCTGCTTGATCTCAATAGCTTCTTTGAGTTGAAGATGGAAGTCAGAGGCATAGGCTATCATGGAATTTCTCACTGAGTTGCTCAACAGGGAAATAATCTCAAGGGTCTTGTTGATAGATTGGCTTATTTCCCTGAGGTTTGCGTTATACTTTTCTTACTTCTTCTCCAGAATTTGATTGTGTCTCATTTCTACCTTCTCTAGGTCTTGTCTGAATGAGGCTTTCTATGACTCCAGGGCTGACTCAATCAGCCCTTGGACCTTCCTGGTCCAGGATTCCGACATCTCATCCGGAAAGGTAGATGTGGAAGAGCTGTGAAAGTGAAAGTTCGTTACCTGATTGGAAGAAGGTACTCTTTGATAGAGTTGCAGAGGGAGGGATTCAGCTTCTTCTCTTTCCTCTGCATCTTCTTCATGAACTTTCAAAGTCTTCACTGACTCTTCCTCAGTTTCTGCTTCCTTGTAGTTTGAGATTTCCTGGGAGAGTGAATCTCTTACTACATCTTCTGTTTCTTGCTCAAAAATAGAAACTGGGGTTTCAATGACCTCCAGTCTAGCTACTTGAGCACCTTCTGCAGCTTCTTCGAGGCTTCTCTGTGCTTCTACAGCTGGTTCCTCATTAGCTTCCTCTGTTGTTGTTTCTGGAGGAGTAAACTTCTCCAAATTTTCTGATGACTTCTCCGGAATTTCTAGTTCAGTCTGGTTGGAGATCTCACAAGTGGTTGTGATGATCTCATTGTTAGAATAAGTGCCCTTCACTAGAGGGGGGGTGAATAGTGAGGCACGAGAATGTTTATAAATTTTCACGGAATAAAAATCGCAGGGATAAAGTAAAGAGCGGAATAAAAAGGAGTAAAGGGAGCACACCAAGATTTATACTGGTTCACCACAACGTGTGGCTAGTCCAGTCTTCCGAGAGACTCTCTCGAGCTACACTACTTCCGTTAAGCTTACGGGTGGTTAACAAACCGTTACAACCTGAGAACTCGAGTCCCACGAGCCTCAATACACTTGCTCGGAGATACCGCACTCCAAGACTTCAACCCGAAGGAAAATACCTTTCCTTCGTACAACCAAGGGAAACAAGCTTCCCTAAACGTGTTTACAACACTAAGAACACTCAAGAACAAGACTCTCTTTAAGAGTAGATGTTGAGTAAACTATATACGCTCAAGAACAACTCAAACTTCACAAATTGGCTCTAGAAAGCTATGGAAAATNTCCAGTCTCCCGAGAGACTCTCTCGAGCTACACTACTTCCGTTAAGCTTACGGGTGCTTAACAAACCGTTACAACCTGAGAACTCGAGTCCCACGAGCCTCAATACACTTGCTCGGAGATACCGCACTCCAAGACTTCAACCCGAAGGAAAATACCTTTCCTTCGTACAACCAAGGGAAACAAGCTTCCCTAAACGTGTTTACAACACTAAGAACACTCAAGAACAAGACTCTCTTTAAGAGTAGATGTTGAGTAAACTATATACGCTCAAGAACAACTCAAACTTCACAAATTGGCTCTTGAAAGCTATGGAAAATAATGTTGTTTGGATGCAATGATAATATGAATAAAGTGAAGTGAATTTATGTGTAAAGCAGACCCAAACACCCCTTTTTATAGTGCCAAAATAGGATCCAACGGATCAAAACATTTAAAGGGTGATTGGCTTGATTTATGGGATTGATTAAAATGTGGATTTGCAGGATATTGGCTTCCCATCGATGTTTAGACTCACCCATCGCTGGTAAGCCAATTTTCCTTCAGTTTTGAAGCCAACGGTTACCTACCCATCGATGGGTAAATGCTTCCCATCGCTGGGTGGGAGGTTGACTTTCAAACAAAGAAAGAATCAGCCTTAAATGACTCACAACGATCATGCCTAACCAGCCATGGGTATGCCCTCCCATCGTTGGGTTCCCATCGATGGGTAAAGGTTCCCATCACTGGGTAAGGGCATTCTGCCTTGTGAAAATGTTGGACCAAGGCTTAAACAGCGATGGGTAGAACTTCCCATCGCTGTTTGGCATGGTTCTAGAAATCAGTTGGGCTGAAGGCTGCTTACCCATCGCTGGGTAATATCTCCCATCGCTGGGTGGAATGATTCTGGAATCCCGGGATCACTTACCCATGGATGGGTGATATCTACCATCGCGTGACCCGAATACAAGTGATCCGAATACAAGGACCAGCGGACCGGGTTGTCACTAAATTGGTATTTAGACACATTAATTCTCAAAACAATATAAAACATTTAATTCAAAACAATATTTAAAACATTCATCGGAGTTAATAAAATGGTGCGGAAGCCTTTAAGTATTTGATCAAAATACAACTTTGGGTTCTTGCCCTTTAAAACATAAATAATTCAAACTTAAGTATTAGATAATAAACTCCTCCAGCCAGCATCCATCCATCTCTTCACCCCCGCTGCCTCCAAGATCGTCTCATTATTCATTGTTCCTGTTACCTACGTGTAGCAAATAGGAAAAAGGGCTACACGCTCAGCAATGAAGCTGAGTGGAACTATCTAACGTTCGACTACGCACATAGACGAACCCACTAGCTCATAACTTCATACAATATCACGCACATAAGTACAACATAATAATATCACATAACAATATCAACAATTCACACAATATGTTACTTACCCTGCACCTGCAAATGTCACTATCACAATATTCAAGTCATTACATTAACTCATATCCAACACATCGAGTATTGGATAAGATCCGATTCCGGTTAATGAGTAATAGGTGTAAGAATGGAATTCTGAATCTCGGTGTACCTACGGCCATGACTCAAAGTCTATTCTATGACATCAGAACCACTACCTACGGCCATGATTCTGGTTAGCCCGGTACCTACGGCGCCGGTTGGGTGGAACCTCCAATCCTACGGATCAGATCCCAGATTCCATGTACGTACATCTTTACCCGAATGCCACTGGACTAAGTCCACAAGGCTCTACACCTATTGTCAACTTACAATCTCAATTCTCACAAAGTAGTCCTAGAGTTCATCTAGGTAACCTATCTCATTAACTTACTTTAATTATACAGATCCAAGCTAACAGCCACCTCAATTTACTTTATTCGTTAAAGGCATATCACACCACATTTACAACAAATCAAGAGAACAGAATTAACCAAATAAATCATCATGCAATCCAAATAGCGGCCTAATGTCGAGTGTTAACACCTTCCATTTACCGTCATGCAAATCATACAAATTCGAAGTAAGAAAACGTACCTGGTCATCCTTGTTCAATCAACTCCAAGAATAACATATAATATAATTAAATCATAGTTTAATTATAAACAAATAAACCACGTAATCAATCATACGAAATTTCGAACGTGAATTTCAAATCTATATACATAATCTAGCGTTAGATGTGCAAGTTCTGACCTCAATTAATTGGCGAATTAAACTAATCAAATACTCAAAGAAGACTTCAGCAACTCGGCGGTAGAGCAGCGGCTATCCTGCGGCGTCCAGCTCCTCCGGACTCCGGCAAACAGCGGCGGCGTGCTCCGGTTCCGTCCCGCGTTCTGTTCTTTCGGCCCCCTTCTCGTTCTTTTATTTTCTTCTTCCGTGCGTGTGTCGGTGTGTGTAGAGCGCATATGTATATATATATATATATATATATATATATACTCCGTATGTATTTACTATTTAGGGAAAACGGGCTTACGGGTGTGGGTAGGATTAGGCTATTATATATATTATATTATAAAATCTTTATATTTCTTTATTGAACTGTAATGTCTATTTTACTCACCACACTTTATACATATGTCCAAATTTAACAAATTATATATCGTTGGTCCCCATTTTACGAGATCTACCCGAAAACCCAATTTTCATATAAAACAGATAACTTAACAAATAATTCATATTTTAGAGTAAATAAATTTAATATTTATTTTTATTAAAATAATGGCTAACTACTAAGCCGGGTTTTGGTTCGTTACAGTAATCATCTACCTCAAATTCTGGGGCTGGAGAGGTGGACAAGTGTTCCAACAGCACGTCTTCATTTGTTTTCTGCCAGACCCATTGCTGATCCAAAATCTGCTCGCAATGGTAGTTAATTGGCAGTCCCAGACATCTCTTAATAATCTTCTCACTCTTCAGTTGTTGATCCCATTCAAGCAAATGATCTGTAGAGTTTCCAACCTTCCAAGCTCTCCAAACATAGTAGAGCTGCATGAATTTGTCAACTTCATCAGCAAGAGCTTGTGATGGAGGAGGTGGAAGATTCTAGTCTTGATAGATTTCCTCATTAAGATCTTGAAGACTATCTTGTGGTTGGTTCTGCACTGAGTTTTCTGGATTGGCATTTCCTGATGTGGAGGGAGAGGAAATTCTCCTCTTCTTCTTCTTCTGAAGTTCTCCTTGAGCAGAAACTTCTTCTTCTTCATCCAGATTGACTACTGCTAGAGTGTGTGGTTCCTCAGCACTGGGGGAGGTAGATGCCACTTGTTTCCTTTTTGAGGACTTCTTTAGACTTACAATCAAAACATTGTCTGAAGATCCTTCATCTTCTGCAGTGGAACTGGCTCTGTTTTCTCCCTTGAATGACAGATAGTACAACCAATATCTGGCATCATACTTCTTGCCTTCGGAGGCAATGCCCATGGACTCCAGAATGTGTCCAAGGTACAGTCCTTGACAGAGAAACTTCTGCTTGGGCTTTCCGATGTGCTTAGAAATAGAGTTGAAGAAATGTGTAGCCCAATTTACCTTAGTCTTGGTAATGAGGGCGTTGATGATGAAGGCCTTTTCCTGGGTTATGTCATCTGCATGTCCTCCACTTCCACATTCCAGACATGCAATGATCAGCTCTAAGACTAATTTGTAGTCATTCTTCAAATCGACCTTCTTTGCTAGGGCAGAGGGGATTTGTCCAGAAATACCAATTGTGTTCCAGTCCAGATTTTTGGACGAGAGCTTCCCAATGTCAATTCCAGAGTTGGGAAGATGGAGCTTCTTCTTCATCTTTTTCTGTGAGATTTTCACTGCGGTGCCTCCAATAGTAGATTTAATGACTTGAATTGATCTTTGTGGATTCTTCTTGGATTTAATGGTTGTGACTCTTCCATTCCTGTAGAATTCAAGAACTTCTTCTTCATACTTGAAGCGAATTTCCATATGAAGAAATTCAGAGAGTTCTTGTGCTCCAATCATTTCCAAATACGCCTCGTAGAATGCTGGTGAGGAGCATTTGGCTTCCAATTTCTTGAAGTGAATATTTGCGCCTCCAACCTTCATTTTTGCAGGAATTTTGAGAGTAAGAATCTGAAGAAATTAGGGTTCTTCTGAGATTTCTCGCGAGGAAGACGACGAAGATTTGAGTGGGCTGTGTGGGCAGTTGAGATTTGAATGTCGTGGCGATTGGGTTTCAATTTGGGCGATTTATGCGGCTGGTGGCGATTGGATTTTAAATGTTCCCAAGGCCACGTGTCTACCCAATTCTTTATCAGATGTGGTAAGTGGACTGCCACGTGTACCGCACTCAGTTTAATTGAATTAGACCGATTTTGTGAAGCAATTCGGAAAACTTGGCTTCACTAAGCGGTTTTGTGAAGATATCCGCCAATTGTTCCTTTAGTTGAGATGTACTCAATTGTGATATCCTTCTTTTCCACATAATCTCTAATGAAGTAATGCTTGACATCAATGTGCTTAGTGCGAGAATAATGCACAGGATTTTGTGAAATGGCTATAGCACTTTGATTGTCACAGAATATAGTCACTTCCTTTGTTTTGACTCCATAATCCAGTAGTTGTTGTTTTAACCACAAGATCCGAGCACAACAACTACCAGCAGCAATGTACTCTTCTTCTGCCGTAGATGTAGAGATGGAGTTTTGTTTCTTGCTGAACCAAGAAACAAGATTTCCGCCAATGAATTGACAAGTACCAGAAGTACTTTTCTGGTCAACTTTGCAACCGAAAAAATTAGAATCTGAGTATCCCACTAACTCAAATGAGCTGCTCTTAGCATACCACAAACCCATGTTCCGAGTTCCTTTAAGGTATCGAAGAATCCTTTTGGCTGCTATTAGATGGCTTTCCTTTGGATTCGATTGAAATCTAGCACAAACACCTACTGCATATGAGATATCCGGACGGCTTGTAGTAAGGTAGAGTAGAGATCCAACTATTCCTCTGTAGAGAGTTTGATCAACATCCTTTCCATCTACATCCATGTTAAGCTTGGTGGATGTACTCATTGGTATAGAAACGGATGACTTCTGATCAACTTTAAATTTCTTGAAGAGGTCGCTTGTGTACTTGGCTTGATTGATGAGAGTCCCTTCACTTCTCTGCTTGATTTGAAGACCATGGAAGTAGTTTAGTTCCCCCATCATGCTCATCTCAAATTTTCCTTGCATGAGGGTGGAGAACTTGGTGCAAAGAGCTTCCTTAGTTAAGCCAAATATGATATCGTCCACATAGATTTGGACCAATACGAGATCTTCTCCATCTTGAAGTTTGAACAAGGTCTTGTCAATGACTCCCTTGATGAATCCATTGTCTATTAGGAATTGAGACAATGTATCATACCAAGCTCTTGGTGCTTGTTTGAGTCCATACAACGCCTTTTTGAGTCTATACACTTGATCGCCTTTGGTGTGTAGCTCAAATCCTGGAGGTTGTTCCACATAAACTGTTAGAATATAGGCCCAATGCTAGAGGGGGTGAATAGCGTTTAAAACAAAATCGCAGGAAATTAAAAACGAGAGCGATAAAATAAAGAGCGTAAGGAAGGAGCACACCGAATTTTATCCTGGTTCACCACAACGTGTGGCTAATCCAGCCTCCCAAGAGACTCTCTCGAGTTACACTAACTCCGTTAAGCTTAAAGGTGCTCAACAAACCGATACAACTTGAGAACTCGAGTCACACGAGCCTCAACGCCTTTGCTCGGAGATACCGCACTCCAAGACTTCTCACGAAGGAACGAAAGACTTCCTTCGAGTTTACAACAAGGGAACAACCTCCCTTAAAGTGTATAGAAACACTTAAACACTCAGGAATAAAACTCTCACAAAGAGTAGATATGAGTGAACTAGTAAACACTCAAGAACACGGCAATTTCCTCAAGAATTGGCTCTCAGATAGCTAAGAAAAATAGGAAGGCTTATGCAATGAAAGAGTATTGAAATGTTGAAGAATTGTGTGTAAAATGAGAGGATTTGGGTTCCATTTTATAGCCTAAAATGGGATAAACCCGTTGCTAGAATTTCCAACAGGATGAAGACAAATTTTTCAGAGATGCAGGGTGATAGTCGATTGTCTAGTCTTGATAATCGATTATCAAAAGATTCCCTGTCCAAAAATTTAAAATTCTATCCGTTGGAGGACAACGGTAACCTAGATAATCGATTGTCAACTAGTGTCAATCGACTATCAGCCCTCTTAGAAGTTTCTGGGTTTAAGGTACAAACGTAGATAATCGAGTGACAAAACATGTCAGTCGCCTATCAGATGGTTCTGAACATAATGTTCAGAATCTGCAACAGCCAACATTCGATTGACATAAACTGTAAGTCGATTATGAGATGGTAAAAAACCATCCGGCGAGAAACTTAACCCAAAAAGCCGAGGTCCAAAAACGAAGTGTTCACAAAGGTAAAAACCAAGTTTGAAAAACATTGTATATGGTATAAAATAGTGAAACCAAGTCTTGTTTAATAAAAACCAAGTCTTCGAGGTCGTTTGTCACGTGTGTACGGTTTTGACCGATTTTCACGTGTTAGACCGATTGACCAAGATACAAAAGTGGTTTTTATAATATAATTGTTTGGGAACCTTTTAAACATGCCCAGAGGTAAAAAGGAGGTTTAAAAAATTGAAAACCACCGACTTGGTTCGGACGCCAATGCCGAACGTCGAACGCCGACCGAGGTGGTTTTCGGTCTAGGCAAGGACCACGGTTTTTAATACAATAAAACTTTTAAAAACTTTTATTTTGATGCACAAAAACGTTTTATGATTTTGTAAAATTATTTTGACTTTTTGAGAACTGAGACTTGAATTGATTGTCGGTTTTGATCACAATAAGACCGACTCGACTAAGTCTTCAATTCTTGATCTTTGTCCTTGAGTCTTTTGGTTTTGTTCCATCCCATTCTTTAGCCTCGAGTCGTTCAATGAAACTCTTCATATCCACGGCGGTTTGGCAATTATCAAAACCTGTCAGAAATGACCACGACTTTAGTTTAACGTAATAAAAGATGTGTTCCAACATAAACTTCTTCCTCTAGGTTTCCTTTGAGAAATGCGCTTTTGACATCCATTTGATAGACTTTGAAATCCTTGTGAGCAGCAAAGGCTAGAAATAGCCTTATAGCTTCAAGTCTGGCAACTGGAGCGAAGGTTTTATCAAAATCTATACCTTCTTCTTGACAATAAGCTTTGGCAACCAACCGGGCTTTGTTTCTAACAACAATGTCGTTTTCATCCATCTTGTTCCGGAAGACCCACTTTGTCCCAATGACATGTTGATGAGTAGGTCTAGGAACAAGTTTCTAGACGTCATTTCTGGTGAATTGGTTGAGTTCTTCTTGCATTGCATTGATCCAATCAGAGTCAGCTAGAGCTTCATCAATGCTCTTTGGTTCTACTTGCGAGATGAAATAGGCAAGCATTGCTTCTAAATTCTGTTGAGCGCTTCTTGTACAAATGCCTAATTGAATATTTCCAATTATTTGTTCGGGAGGATGATCCCTTAACCAATGAAGATTGTGTTGATTAGGGTTGACTGGCTGATCTAGATCCGCTTCTGGTTGAAGAATGGAGTTTGTTGGTGTTTCCGGATTGGTTGGCACCTTATTACCATTTCCAGAATTGTCGTCATGTGAGAAATCCGGGATTTCGGAAGGCTGGCCATGATTTTCAGCACTGTCTGAATCCGGACATCTCCGTGAAGTCTTCAATGGTAAACTTCCGAATGGAATGAACTCCGTAGGCTTCATTCTGTCTCGTTCATTGACTTCTTCATCTGTGTCTGAGAGATCCAGAACCTCATGATCATGCTTTGATGGCTTATCAACTACATGTTTTTCATCAAAAATAACATGTATTGACTTTTCAGTGATCATGGTTCTTTTGTTGAAGACTTTGAACGCCTTGCTAACCAGAGAGTATCCAAGGAGGATGGCTTCATCTGATTTCTCATCCAAAGTATTCAGATGGTTCTTACCGTTGTTTAACACAAAGAACTTGCTCCCAAAAATGTGAAAATATGATATATTAGGCTTTCTCCCATTCCATAGCTCATAGGGAGTTTTGTTGTGCCTTTTGTATTTCATACTCCTATTTTGAGTGTAGCAAGTTGTGTTTACAGCTTCAGCCCAGAACCTCTTTGGTAAGAAAGCTTCTGCCAGCATGGTTCTTACGGCTTCCTTCAAGGTTCTATTCCTTCTTTCAGCTACACCATTCTGTTGTGGTGTCCTTGCTGCGGAGGTCTGATGAAGAATTCTGTTTTCTTCACATTAATGAATGATGATTTCATTCAGGAACTCTGTGCCTTTGTCAGATCTGATCTTCTGGATGGTCTGACTTGCTTGATTCTGAATCAGCTTCATGCAGTTTGTGAGTTTCCCTTGAGTTTCCTTCTTGCTGTTTAGGAAGATTGTCCACGTGTATCTTGAGTAGTCATCAACCACTACTAAGACATATTTCTTTCCACTTAGACTTATAGGAGTTACATGGCCAAATAAGTCCATGTGGATAAGGCTTAGTATCCTTGTAGTTGAATGGGCTGGCTTCGCCTTGAAAGTGGACTTGACTTGCTTTCCTTTTTGACAAGCATCACAGATGATTTCCTTCTTGTACACAGCTTTGGGAAGTCCTTCCACTAACCCTTCCTTGGACAGCTTGTTGAGGGTTTTGAAGATGAGATGACTCAACCTCTTATGTCAAAGCCATAGAAGGTTAATGTCACCTTTGCTGATTAGGCATGCTTCCTTGACATCATCCCACATCACTTCGTAGATGTTCCTTATTCTCTTGCCAGTGAGAATGACTTCATTTGTGGAGATGTTTTTGAGGGATGCCATGTCCTTGCAGAATTCTAGAGAATAACCTTTATCACAGAACTGACTTATGCTTAGAAGGTTATAGTTGAGACCTTCCACATAAGATACAGCCTGGATGGTTAGTCCCTTGTACACCAGATTTCCTAGCCCTTTTATAAGGCCAAAATCATTACTTCCTCCAAAAGTAACTCTTGGACAATCATAGGGAATTAGATTGCTCAAAAGACTCACATCACCCGTCATGTGTCTTGAACAGCCACTGTCTAAGTACCAGACACCTGGGTACTTAGTGGCTTCCTGCATTAGGAGGAGGAAGATTTTGGTACCCAATTCAGTTTGGCTCCAGAATAGTTAATGGTGTGTGTCCCCATATCAAGTTTGAAGTTGCAGGAAACTTTCCTTGCAGCCCTAAATTTATTGGGGTTGTAATCATAGTTGTAGGCATAAAATTTCCTACGTGCAGGTGGAGTGAATTCCTGTTTCCTCCTAGCAAACTTAGGTTGGTGAGACCTATAGTTTTGTCTAGGTTGTGCATGGTGTGACCCGTGAGGGTTGTAAGCATACTTAGGTGTAACAAACAATTTTTGTGGTGGAGGATGACTATATTTGGGCATAGTTCTCCACTCACTGTTTCTCGGAAAACTTCTATCTACCCCATAATGAGTATAGCCTCGTGAGTAGTGGGGGTAAGTAGGTTTTCTTTTAAAATTGTTTTCTCTTTGAGGTATATCCAGCTTCCTATAGTTCTTAGGAGGGACAACCTTTTTGGAAACTTCTGTAGGTTTCTCCTTCTCCTTACCTTTCTGCTTATTGGGTTTGGCAGTAGGTTTGGGAGGAATAAATGTTGTTCTCCCTTTCCTTTTGGAACTGGATGGGTCAAACCCAAGTCCTTCACGACCCTTCTTTTTGGTCGTTTCAAGAAGCTTATCCACAGCTTCTTTGGACTTCAGTATCTCTAGCTCCTTGTTGAGAGTTTTTACCTTTTCAGAGAGAGATTCATTCTCAGCTTTGAGTTGAGTAATCTCATTTAGTTTACTTTTCCGGCTTTTAGTCAACTTGAGATTCTCTTCACTTAATAGCTTGTTCTCCTCTGTTAAGGATGAGTGTTTGAGATTAATTTCCTCAAAATCTTTCATCATATTTTTGAACTTGTCAAATAGATTTTCAGAAGTTGGTATGCTTTCATTCGAAGATGAGCAGGAGGTTTGTGAAGTTACCTCTTGATCAGCATCATCTTTGGCCATTAGGTAGAGAGTGTCATCTTCTGACATTGTCCAACGATTTTCATGGTTGGATTTCTCAGCTCTGCGCTCCATGCACACAAGGGCTTCTTCATCCAAGCTTGAAATGGATGACTCGTCACTTTCAGCTGCTACCATTGACTTTTTCTTCTTCTCGTTCCTTTCTCCTTCTCCGTACTTCTCCACTTTTGGATACGGACAGGCTGACTTCCAGTGGCCAGGCTTACCTGTAGCTTTCCCTTGGGTGGCCTTCTGACTGCGTCGGTTTTCTTGAAGAACTTCTTGAGCTTCCGGAATTGCTTGATCACCATTGCAAGCTCCTCCTCGTAGTTCTCCATTTTTTAGCTTGGTGGATGGCTGGTGGAAGGAGTGTCACAGCTCCTTGGGCATGTTCCTTTGCTTGCTGGGACTCTGGATTTGTCATCAGCGCCGTGGGAAAAGGGGTGACCTGTTCTTCCTTCTTCTTCAGCTCGTGCTCATAGGTTCTGAGTTCATCCAGGAGACCTTGAACAGTGTAGTTCTCCAGATTTCTTCCTTCTTCCATGGCTGTGTCTTTGGTGTACCACTCAGCTGGAAGAGACCTTAGTAACCTTACATTCTTTTCTTTGGGAGAAAGAACCCTTAGTAACCTTACATTCTTTTCTTTGGGAGAAAGAACGTGGTTAAGTGATGCAAGATCATTTAGAATCTTGTGGAATCTTTCATCCAGCATGTCAAATGATTCTCCGGGAAGCATTTTGAAGCTTTTGAACTTTTCAAGAAGAACCTCTATCTTCTGCTTTCCCAGATCCTCTGATCCCTCACACAACATCCCAAGACCTTTCCATATTTCCATGGCAGTCTTGAGATGTTTGATTTTGGAGAAGGTGATGGGATCAAGTGTCTTGAAGATGGCTGCTTTGGCGACGTTGTCCATATTGTGCTTTTTGCAATCTCTATCATCCCATTTCTCTTTGGGCTTTGGAATGTACTGGACTACATCTGGATTCTTTGGATCCCTCTCTGGATTCTCCATTTGAATCTTCAGAGGTCCATCTTCCAGCACCATCCACATGCAATCGTGTAGAGCGTAGAGATGTGCTTTCATCACGATCTTCTAATCATCATAACCTAGAAGAGAAAACTTGGGCAAACCGTGATCCATATTGTTCACCATTATGGTCGCTTCTCTTTAATCTAAATGTAGATAGTGAGAAGTTAGCTCTGATACCAATTGGTGTTCCCAAAAGTGGTGAGATACAAAGTCTAGAGGAGGGGTGAATAGACTTTGTTACAACTTTAAAACTTTTTCGTTTCTTTTGAAAACGTGAAAATGAGTATTAATCTAAAGTTCTTGTGAACTTAGATTGAGTTCGCAAGTTGGTGGGTTATTGGTGCAGTAATCAATATGGATGGGTTAGTTTCACAGTTAATGTAAGTGCAAGTAAAGATAAAAGAGAGAGAGACGCAAACTTTAACGAGGTTCGAAGGTGGGGTAATCCTTCTACGTCCTCAAAATCCACTAGGTAGTTGGTCATAATGAACCAACAATTACACTTGTGTGAATTTCTGCACGGTATATCTTCGCAAGGCCAATGTTGCTACTGCACTCGTGCTGGCTTTGTTGTTCCTTCGAAGGTCACGCTTCTTCAACAACTGCAAGATCCGAACAATAGGACTTGCAAGATCAACTTTAAGAAAAGTTGATGTGCCCCGTTTTAATCAAGAAGTTTGATTAAAAGTTGTATCCTTCAACGTGGTATGGTACTTGAGGCAAGGAAACCTTCAAGTGTTTACACTATAGCTCTTTGGAAGGAGGAGAAGTTTGCTTCTGGATAAGGAGTTTAGAAATCTCTCTTTATCAGACTTTTTGGCTAACTATAAATGAGATAGTTTTTGTTCTTCGTTGCTGTACTTTTTGCTTGTTATCTCATGCACATTTTTCTCCAGTCTTCCATGGAAGCTATATATAGCTGGGTGAATAATCTATCCGTTGAAGGGAATAGACTATCCGTTGCATTTGTTGGCTTCAATTTTGAACGAAGAGTGAGATTGAGGATTCTTCATTGGAATGGGTGTTTGGACATACCCAATTGTTTGAGAACGGATTCCCTTTTCACAAAATCCGTCTTTTAGTTGTTGTTCAAGAATTCTGGACTGTAGCTCTTTATTGAGTGGAGTATCCATTTTGTCTTCTTGTGTTTGTTTAGAAATTCTGGGCGAGCTCTTCAATTTGTGAGGTTCAGACCTTGTCTTCAAGTCATTTGTTCTTGAATCAACTTAATTATCCTCAATCTAGCCGTTGAAAATCAAGAATTTGATTTTTCCTTACCAACGGGTAGAATTTCTTCATTCATGACTTAGATAATTTTCTAAGTCTTTTCTCACTAGTCTGCTTCTGAGAGTTCCGGTCTTCCTTGAGACATCTGGTTCTTGGCTGACGATTTCGGATTAGTCATCCTTAGACTTCCTGGTGAGAAAGAGATCCGCGCTAGTCTTCCGATCCGGATAACTTAGCCTTCAGCGGGTCGTAGTGAGAGTTCCGGGTATAACGAGCATTCCAGTTTTTAGAATCTTCAAAGTAAACTTCTTTGAGAATTCTTTACTTGTCTCTGACATTTCCGAGCAAGAATTCCAATTTCCATATCACTGAATTTGATTAAGTCTTCAAAGAGTAATCATCAAACCACAAAGTGAAATATCACACGTTTTATTGGAAATCTCAAGAACTCGGTTTTAACAATATTTCTAAAAAGAAAAATTACATTGAATATTGGGGGTGACCTAAAGTCCCTATTACAATCTAAATACATCATCATCAAAATCTAATTTTTCCCAACAACTACTAATGGCCCGTTTATTCCTATGACCACTGTAGGTGAAACACAAGTTCGCACACCCATGGAAAAACTCACGGCCGAGGACAAAAAGAAATTGTCGTTAAATGCCAAAGCATTAAACGTTCTATTTTGTGCCTTGGGTCAAGACGAGTTTTCTAGGGTAAGTTCACGTAGATCCACTAAGAAAGCATGGGATCTCTTAGAAGCCACTCATGAGGGAGACAAGGACACCAAAGCTACCAAGATAGCTTTAGGAACATCGGAATACGAGAACTTCAAAATGAAGACCGGAGAATCCATTCAAGACATGAACAAGCGATTCAACCTCATCATCAACAACTTGAGTAAGCTAAATAAAATTTATCCCAAAATTGAGATTAATACCAAGATTATATTCTCCCTTCCTAAAGAATGGCATAGTCTTGTTGTATATTTGTTGCCCAAATGTGCAGATGTTGAAACCTCCACCATTTGGAGCAGCCTATACTCTCACGAGCTACATTTGAAGAAAATGAAGGAAGAAGAAAAGGTTCCCATTGTGAAAAAGACCATGGCACTCAAGGTTGATGACCGCTCGGAAAGCGAAGGAGAGAGTGACGAGGAACTTACCATGTTCAAGAGATACAAAAAGTTTATGAAATGAAACAAGGGCGAATTGTCAAAGAAATTTCCACCAAAGAAAGGTAAATCAAATCAAATAACTTGTTATGAATGTGGAAATATAGGGCACATCAAACCGGAATGCCCAAAGCTCAAAAAGAAGGAAGAGCTTAGAAAGGGGAAGAAGAAGGCATTGAAGGTCACTTGGGATGATTTGAACTCCAACGAAAGTGATAGTGACCAAAGCCAAGAAGAAAATGCAAATGTTTGCTTCATGGCCTCAAACAATGAAGAAGAGGTTAGTTCTCAAAACTCATTTACTTCTTTTGAAAGTCAATTTACTTTTGATGAGTTAAGGCAAGCGTTTGATGAATGACAAGAGGACCTTTTTCGAATCATTACGGAGAAAAAGGAACTCAAAGTGGCTCTTGAAACCTCTTGGGATGAAAACAAAAACTTAAAACTTAATCTTGAGAAGCTTCAAAACCAAAATGAAGAATTTCAAAAGAAAATCGATATTTTAATTAAAGAAAGGGACAAAGCCAAACGAGGGGCTTTGGAAATGTTTTATAATAGCTACAACTCAACAAAAGAATGGGATAACCAACCAAAACTAACGAAAGAATGTATTGGTTATGGTCAACCCATAAATCTGATGAGCATGGCCAAAAATCATTTAATACTTCAAAAGATATTCCATCAAACCAAGCCTCAACTTCTAAATTAAAAGTAAACGCTTGCCATTACTGCATGAAAACTAATCACATTGTGACAAATTGTCCGAAAAAGAGTTTAGTTGAAATGCGTAAATTAAAATGGGTCAAGAAGGGTTCTAACCAGTCGGAATTCAAGAATATTGGATATCAAGAGAAACCCTTTTTGCAGGAAAATAAAAGAAATGATGGTGGCTACTATTTCTTTTATTATGACGAAAAACGAAAAGTCCATATACCACTCCAGAACCGACCAAGAGAAAACCCATCTACCGACACCGAGTGTATGTCAATTGGAACCCGAAACCTAAGTCAAAAATTAACTCCATTTTGACTAGGTGAAAAACACCACTTGGATAGTTGATAGCGGGTGCACAAGGCATATGACTGGGACAAGAACATGGTTCACAAACATCAAAGAGAAAAGCCATGGACACATGACCCTTGAAGACAAATCACGGAAGAAAGTCATTGGTAAAGGTACGATTTGTATTTCAAGTGATTTTTCAATAAATGATGTTTATCTTGTTGATGGCCTAAAATTTAATTTAATTAGCATAAGCCAACTTTGTGACAATGCCCACAAAATTGAGTTTAATGCAAATTCCTGCGTTTTGTATGACCAAAACAAGGATGAAATCATTTTTGAGGCTAAAAGAGATGGGAACTTATATAAGTTTAACTCCAACGACTTAAGCAACTCAATTCAAAAATCACTTGTCTTACTACTTCACTTGAATTTTCAACTCTATGGCATCGTAGATTAGGACATGCTAGCTATGATCTTTTGAAAAAACTTTATTCAAAAGAACTTGTTGTTGGGCTTCCCAAGATGAGCATTCCTACTTCCCGTTTTTGTGATGCATGCTCCCTTGGGAAACAACACGAAGTATCATTTAAACCCATAAAAATGGTTTTAACGTCAAGGTCACTTGAACTATATTAGACATGGATTTATTTGGGCCCGTAGACGTTCAAAGCCTTTTACATTCGTAATTGTAGATGACTTTTCTCGTTACACTTGGGCTATTTTACTTGCCAATAAAGATGATGCGTTTAATGTGTTTGTTAAGTTGTGCAAGAGAATTCAAAACGAGAAAGACTATGAAATAATCTCTATTAAAAGTGATTGAGGAGGAGAATACCAGAATACCGACTTCGAGACATATTGCGATGAACACGGTATTTCTCATAACTTTTCGGCTCCTAGAACGCCCCAACAAAATGGAGTTGTTGAGAGGAAGAATAGGACATTGCAAGAAATGTCAAGGACCATGTTGAACGAACACAACTTACCTCAATATTTTTGGGGAGAAGCAGTCAACACGGCATGCTACGTTCTTAACCGGGTATTACTTAGACCTATTATTAAAAAGACTCCTTAGGAACTTTGGAAAGGTAAAAAACCAAATATTTCCTATTTCAATGTTTTAGGATGTAAATGGTATATTTTAAATACCAAGCATCATCTAGGTAAATTTGAGCCTAAATCAAGTGAATGAGTTTTTCTTGGTTATTCAACAAATAGTAGAGCCTATAGGGTATATAACAAGTCAAATCATAAAGTAGAAGAATCTATGCATGTAAAATTTGATTAAACCGATCCCTTTGGGTCAAGTAAGGTAATTGCAGGTTCAAATGATGAAGAAGAGGAAGAAGAAATTCTAGAAACTCCAGTTCAAGAAGAAGAAAAGGAGAAAAATGAACTTCCAAAAGCATACAAGCATTTGAAGAATCATCCGAGAGACAATATGTAACACCCCGAAACCCAGCTTAGTATTTTAATTGATTTATAGAATTAATTAATTATTAGGTTTGTCAATACGAAGATTATTTTCTAAATTGCCTTTTTAATATAAGAGATTATTCTACGTTGTAGAGCTCGTTGTTATAAATCTGACCACGCAAACAGATCATGGATCGGGCTTATTGGGCCCAAGATACGACTGACGAATCAGGTAATTGGGCTTAAACCTATCCTAATTGAATTAGAAGTGTAAATTGGACCCAAAACCCATTTAAATATATAAAAGAGTATATAGGGACGGTTTAGAGAGAGATACGATCGCTCTCCCTTCCTCCTGTTCGTTTGTATCCTCTGCCCAGTAAATTTTTCATCCGTTTTTTCCGTTCGCCGACCAAGACGCCGCCGGGACTGCCAAGCTCACCGTCGACCTCCGTCCTCCTCGTCTCCTACCCTCCATCGCGCGTCCAACCCGTCAAGACCAAGGAATTGCAGCGGCGACCTTTCTATGTTCAATCCAAGGTTGAACTCGACAAATTTCAAGGTGAGTGTGGACCCTCTACCGTTAGAATCCATAGTTGTTTGCAAATATAGTTATACTCATGGATATATAATATATATTGATTTATGTGGTGTTGCTTGAGAACTTGAGGTTTACAATTGTAGGATCAAGAGTTTAATTAAGGTGATGATGGATTGAATTGTGTAGTAGAGTGAATTGTACATATGTGGACTGAAATTTGGGGTTTTACATTCGGGAACTGGGATGGGTTTGCGTGGAGGTCGGCCCACTGATGGCCGCCGAATAAGGGTAATTGTCTGCCAGTGTCATCTTCGTTTCCAGTAGGTTTACCTAGCTTCAATCCTCTGTGCACATGGTTTTGGTTTGGGGTACCGAATCTGCAGAGTTTGGGGCAACTAATTAATTGTGTGTTATTGGTAGTGGTTGGATAGTGGGATTGGATAAATTTGTATGCTTTACTATTGAATGAATGCAAGGGAAATAAATGTTTGGGATTTGATGATGTTGCCAGGTTTGGTATTATACTGTGTCATTATTATCAAATGTGGATTTAAATCTTGGTTTGAGTTGCTATGTTGTGAGAACTATATATGTTTGATTTATGTGATTTAGGAGACCGGATGGACTTAGTTGTCTAACGGAGGTGACCTGGACTCACCATAGATCACCGGACGAACATAGTTGTTCGACGGAGGTGGCCTAGATCCACCATAATAGTAAAATTAGAACTGACCGGTGGGTGTAGTAGCCCAACGGAGGTGGCCTGGATCCACCATAATAGTAAAATTAGAATTGACCGGTTGGGTTTTAGTAGCCCACCGGAGGTGGCTTGGATCCACCAAAGTAGTGAAGTTGAGTTATAACTTAGAGTTTACTCTAAGATGAACATGCAAAAAGAATGGTTGACTAAGGCTCTTATGAATGTATCTTGTGTGATCGTATGTACTTATGTGTATATTTATGTTTGTGTTCTAGCGTAGATATCCCCACACTCATTGAACTATGCGTGCAGGTAGGGATCAAGGATTTGATGAGCAGCTTGGTATCGTAGAGAGTGATGCCTTGCAAAGTGGCTGGCCCGAAGTTATTGAATCTGGATTAATGACTCTTTTAACGTTATTTTATTTGAATAACAAGAATGTTTAATGATATTGTTATAAAGGCTTTCACAACGTCTGTTTTATTTACTCCAATTAAACGATGATTTGTTTTAAATAAATATGAATGGATGTTTTATTTTAAAAGTTTTTAAAATATTGTGCATTGAATACCAAATTCGTAACAACCGATTCGCTAGCTCGTTGGTTCGGGTTACGCGGGTGGGGTGTTACACAATATCATCGGAGATATTGAAAAGGGAGTTAGAACTATGAACAATTACAATCTTTGTGCATATTATACGTTCGTTAGTCAATTTGAACTTAAGAACATAGAAGATGCATTAAAAGATAGTGATTGGATTATTTCCATGCAACTAGAGCTAGAGCAATTCGAACGCAACAAGGTTTGGGAATTAGCCGAAAGACCAATAAACCGACCGGTTGTGGGCACCAAATGGGTTTTTAGAAACAAGCTTGACGAAAATGGTGTTATTGTCACCAATAAAAGTCGACTTGTTGCTAAAGGCCGGCTATAGTCAAGTTGAAGGACTTACTACGATGAAACTTTTGCTCCGGTTGCTAGGCTTGAATCAATTTGAATGTTATTAGCTTTTGCAAGTGCTCTTAACTTCAAACTTTTTCAAATGGATGTTAAAAGTACTTTTCTAAATAGATGGTTAAAAGAAGAAGTTTACGTTGAGAAACCCCCCAGTTTTGAAAATCTTGATTTTCCAAATCATGTTTTTAAACTCCATAAGCCTCTTTATGGACTCAAACAAGCTCCTAGAGCTTGGTATGAGAGGCTTACCTCATCTCTCATGTATTTGCAAAAAGGAAAAATCGATTCCACACTTTTTGTCAAAACAAAAGAAAAAGATTTTATCATATTGCAAATTTATGTTGATGATATTAATGAGTAAATTACTCAAATAGGAGTAAAAAGAGAGTAGTTTTCCCTAAATAGGAGTAGTCCTATTTGCACTAACGTTTGGTGAGGAGAAGGACAAAATTGACCCTGACATCCCTTTTATACTCTACTAACCATATATCCCGCACCACATCCTAAACTTATGGGAATCACAAACAGTAGAAAAGGAAGGAATTCTAATTGTAATTGAAATTGGTGGCATACATTATGATATAGAGTCGGACTTGTTTTCTAAATTGAGATTTCATTTTCTCGCTTTATTCTTCTTTTTTTTTGAAAAATAGGGTTAGAGATTTTGAAATTAAATATTACAGAGTGCATTCCCAATTTTGGTTAATAATTGATCATTACGAAGTAAAATCTTAAAATTTTTTATATTATTATTTTATTTACAAATCGGTACATTAATAAAAAATAAAAATTATATATTAAAAGAGTACGTCAAACGTTCTATAAAATAAGAATGTGAAAAAAACATTTTGTTTTATCGAATAAATTAAAATATACAAATATATCAAAGTTTTTTAGAGGTGAGAGAAATTTTTTAATCAAAATTGGAATGGAGAGTAATAAGTATAGTATAAACAATGTCCATTCAAATTAGACATTAGTTGAGACTTGAGAGTATATCACTGGATATTAATTGCTACGATGTCCCACAAATATATATGGGCATTAAAGCTATATAGTCTCGGAAACATTAAGGGAAGAAAGTTAGGACATCATTAGAAATAATAGAGAACATTAGATATTAATATATGAAAATTCTACATCAAGATAATAGAGTTTTAGTGCATTAAAAGTAGTGAATAATGTCCATTCAAATTCGACATAAATCCAAAGTAGATCAGTGGACATTAAATCACCACAATCTCTCCAAAATGAATATATAGACATTAAAGAAATATACTTTGGAGAACATTAAGGGAAGAGAGTTTGGAGGACATTATTAGAAGTAATAAATAACATTTGGACATTAATATATGACATTGGGCATTAAGAAGAGAGAGTTTTAGTGTTATTTAAGAAATGTTTCTTTCTCTTTTCTTCACTAGTGGACATTAAATATCATAGACATTATATTTTTTAAAGACATTATTTTATCTATTATTTTTCATCACTAGACATTAAAATTCATATACATTATTTTTTTCACAAATACAAAGACAGTGAACATTCAAAGTTGGGCAATGTGGGAGCGACAAAACAAGAGATAATACGATTATTTTATTTTACCAAATAATTAATAAAAATATGTATCAAATAATCAATGTCCTTAGACAATATTTTAATTTTTTGTATGACCATGCTAGGTCGGATAATGTCAAACGTATTGTAGGAGGGAAAGAGAGCATGGTGATGGGAAAGGTAGAGAAGAGAGCAAAATTTATGAAGACGAGGAGATCTATCGCAGAGAAAGAGAGAAGTGTAGAGAATGAGTATTGAAGGAGAGAAGTGTAGATAATGCAATTATTGCTTGATTTATAGGGTGATAAATGAGTAGTTATTTTTTTAATTATGTAAATGAAATCATATGGATCACACGGAGTAATCGGAGGAATTGGTAGATGAAAAAATAAGAGGAATAAATATACAAGGGTAATGATGGAATACCGTATAAAAAAAGTCATATTAATAGAAAACAACTTAACTAGTCCTATTAAGGGAAAAATAAAAACTTTAAGTCCTAAATGAAGCCTTATGCAATGAATTTTCAGGAATTATGACAAGCGAATTTGAAATGAGCATGATGGGTGAATTAATTTTTTTCCTGGGACTTCAAATCAAGCAACTTGAAGATGGCATCTTCATTAGCCAAACCAAATATGCCAAAGAGCTTGTCAAGAAATTCAACCTTGAAGATTCAAAAACATACTCAACTCCGATGAGCACATCCTTAAAGCTCGATAGCGACGAAAGTAGAAAATGAGTAAGTGAAAAGCAATATCGAGGTATGATAGGTAGTTTATTTTTCTTAACTGCATTCCAGACCCGACATCATGTTTTCCGTTTGCCTTTGTGCTCGTTTCCAATCATCACCCAAAGAATCAAATATAAACACCGTCAAGCGAATAATTCGTTATGTCAAAAGAACAACCAATATGGGTTTATGGTATTCGAAGAATAAGAATTTAAGCTTGATAGGTTTTAGTGATGCCGACTTTGGAGGGTGTCGTATTGATCGGAAAAGCACAAGTGGAACATGTCAATTTATAGGTCATGCACTAGTGTCTTGGTCGTCCAAGAAGCAACATTTCGTCGCCCTATCCACCACCAAAGTGGAATACGTGGCTATGGGTAGTTACGTTGCTCAAATATTATGGATGATGCAAACACTTAGTGACTTCAACCTAAAATTTTCAAAAGTCCCCATCTTTTGTGACAACTGTAGTGCTATAAATATTTCAAAAAACCCTGTGTTGCACTCTAGAACAAAACATATAGAAATAAGACATCATTTCATTCGTAATCATGTTGCAAAAGGTTATATTCAAATTGAATATGTAAATACGCTTGAACAACGTGCCGATATTTTTACAAAACCATTGAATGAAAAACAATTTTTACATATTTGTCGAGAAATGGGAATGCTTGAATTAAAATAATTTAAAGGTTCCGTTTATACTCATACTATGTTTTGAAAATCAAATTGATCATAGCATATTGCTCAAAGTCCACATAAAGAGGCAACGGTCGAAAAGGTAAGTAAAACGGGATCTAAATCGGTACATCAGGCCCTAAACGGTAGCCCCTACCGTTGGAAACGGTAGTAGGTACCGTCCGAAAGAAGGAGGCTCAGGTACTTAAGGCAGCATCCGGGACCCTGTACCGTTAGCCATCCTCAAGTACCGACCGGAAGAGAAGGTGCTCAGGTACTTAACGCATGATCCGGGACCCTGTACTGCCAGACTCACTCAAGTACCGACCGAAAGAACTCAAGCACAGCCCTTTTACTCCTATTCTGGTACGGTCTACCGCTACACTTGTGCAGGTACCGACCGTCTCTTCACGGGTACTGGTCTATCTCACTTATTACGTACCCACTACCGTTACCGGTTAGTAGGTACCGACCATCACCTAAATTAAATAAAACCCTACATGTTGAAGACTTGTCGTAAGGTCCAAAACAAATTAAAAATTTATAAAATATCCTTAACTAACCCCCAAAATGTAATGAAATAAAAACTATAGCTAGGGCAAGTAAGGGTCGATCCCACGGAGAAAGTTTGTACTTTTTAAAACCAATTTAGTATGTGAACACGTTGTCACAAAAATAAAAAAAATAAAAGCAAACTAACTATTACACATATGATAAGGCTTATAAAACTTATAATAAAATTTATAAAAACAAATTATATAAATATAATTTATATAAACAAAGAACTTATAATATAACTTATATAAACAAATTATATTATAACATAAAACTATATACAAAGGGGGGGTGTTGGATGAAAAGTAAATATTTTTTTGGTTTTTTTTATTTTCTTATTTTTTTGGTTTTTTGATAAAACAGGGAAACAAGCTCAAAAGATAATCAACTACTCCAACAAAGGTAACCCAAGAAACACCGCCAAGAACCCGAAACAAAATGAAAAAGAAAACAAAAACAAGTCGAACATTACACGTATAATAGAAACGTAGACAATATATTACGTAACTTACGCACTTAAGAATTTGAAAAAATCAATCAAAGGCCGAGTCAATTCATTTCCTTAACCACGATATGGAGGATTGTCAACTCTCCACACGGCCCGGAGTCATGCAATTCAAATGCCCATTTTGAAATATACCCTAGAACCCCAACTCACCAATCAAGCATGAAAACATACTTCCACTATAGCAAAAGTTTATAAAAGAGCGAATTTTTTTTCATTCAACTCCCATGCACAATCTATTCACAAATCGTCAATACCTTATGCATTTTAATAAACTTTTTCTCCTAATAAAGAGTACTTTTCACAAATTTCCATGAATTTCTCAAACCAATAACGTTTTTTCTATTCACATAAAAGAACACAACATATTTTCAATAAATCAAGAATTGTTTATTGCACTTAAACAATCTCAATTTTAATGAAAATGGAAAACAAACACATAACATAACAAAATCACTCCATAACGAATTCTAAGGAAAATGAATCAACTTATGGGGCTAAGAAGTCCAAACTCATTAAAATCAACGAACACAAGGCACGACAAAGAATCACATATGAATTCGGAGTTCATTTAACTATCTTATGGAACAAAAATAGCTTCAACAAAAACTGAATTCCACATACCAACCTACTTATGAATTCGAATTAACAATTCAACCAATTCAACAACAACTTGTTCAATAATTGAAGTAAATAAGAGTGAATCAATTCTCATTCATAAGGAATTTAATATAAACATTAAAAAAAATCCATAAAAGAACACCAACCATTTTTAAAAAAATTTTTGAAATTATTAGAACACAAGCACACAAAAATTGTAAAATTGAAATAAAAAAACATCATTTTACAAAGAATTGGGAAGAAAATGAACAATCAAGGGTTAACAATTGAAGAATTAGGACCGTGTTGGATATTGTCGACCGCTTGCCGGAGCTGCTGCCGCTGCCGGTCCGAGTCTGCCGGTCGTCCGCCACCGCCGCCGTGCGTGAATTGCAGCGGCTAGAGCCGCTGCTCTTTCTTATGCGATTTCCCCCCCTTCTTGAGTTGATGATGCTGCCAATATATAGCCGAATAGGATTCTCCCGTTGGAGCATTGATCAAGCAAAAATTGTGGAGAGACGTTAGAGAAGATGCTGCCAATATATAGCTGACTTCCTCTTTTTTTTCCGTGTGTGGAATTGAAATGGGGAGAGAAATTTTGGGCCGGTCTTCTTTTGTTGTTGATGATGGTTTAGGCTCCGGCCCAAAATCAATCTATTATTTTTAAACTTGAGCTTCAATTTGGTCTTTTGCTACATTTTTCTCCAAAAAAATAAGATATCTGATAATTTGGGTTAGGGAAAAAAATAAATAATATAATGTAAAAAAATGATTAAAAAACTACTATTTATTCAAGAAATTTAAAAGATTGTAAAAATTAGAATTAAAATAAAACTACGCAAAACAATTAAAAATTAAACTCAAAAAATATTAAAAATGCCTAAAAAAGAATAAAAAGTACTAACCCAAACCCGACTTATCGCTACCCCTTCACTGTCCGGTCGGCATTTTCAAACGTTCCTTCACTCTCCCGACTGTGTCTCTTCGAGCCGACCGCTATTCAAGGTATTTCTCTTCCAATTTTCTCTCCAATTTATTTAATTTTCTTCTCCAATCTCCTCAATAATCACTAAATACTCTAAAGATTCAATCTTTCCACAATTCAAATCATGTCGGAGATGGAAATTGTCCCTCTTGAAAACCCTAACCCCCAACTCATCCTAAATGCCTACACACACGCCAACGTCATCGAGGGACTCGTTCTTAAGCGTGAGGACATCCCAGATGACGTTCTTGCTCCCGTAGACGTGCAAGGTTGGACCGAATTTCTCAAACTTGAAGCGCCGGTCTACCCGAACTTGGTGTTCGAGTTCTATGACTCCCTACAATATGCTCTAAAATCAAAGGTCATCTTGTCAAAGGTTGCGGGTGTTGATATTAGCATTTCCGTTCAAAACCTAGCCGATTGGTTTCATCCCCCTCTTGAAGGTCTAACCACCTATACCAAGAAGGGATGGATGGCCGAGTCTGACTCCTTCTCCATCGAAGAGTGCCTACGGCTTCTAAACACCAATCCCAAAGCTGGAGATACTTCCCTTCGCCGTCCGGAAGTTCAAGGCCTAAAGGCAAACAACTTCATTCTTTTAAAAATTATCCGTGAGAATGTTGTTCCGGTCCTAAATAAATACAAACTTGTTGGCATGATGGAATGCACCCTCCTCTATTATCTTCTCACTCACCGCCGTATAAGTCTTCCAAACCTCATCAACCAACACTTTTTCAACACATCTGAAATTCTCAATCGCCCATATGGCATGCTCCTTACACACATCTTTGCCAAACGTGGTATTCTCGATATTAGCCCCTCCCAGGTTCAATATCTTGATGTCGAATGCCTTGGGTACTCCGGCCTTGTCAAGATAGGAGCAACATATTATATGAAGCGTGAGTTTGAGCGCCTATATGATGCTACACGTACCCGTTTTGGACCCCGACGCTCTACATCATCCAAGAGGACGAGAACGAACCGGAAAATGATCCACCAACCACCCGGCTCAAACGCTCAAGGACAACGGCTAGAGGTGCCTCCTCCTCCACCCAAGACTCATCGGAGAACTCCGCTATGAAAGAGTCATTCAAGAAGCTCAAGGACTTCATCAAAAAGAAGATGGTGAATCCCCTCAAGCGTTTGCATGAACGGATGGACAGCCTTGATGCTCGCCTTGCAAATTTGGAGAACACCGAAAACCGATCCAAAGGCAATAATGATCGTGCCTCTCTTCGTGGAAAGAAAGCTATGGGCACAAGCAAAAAATGATCAAACATTTAAACTTTTTAATGCCTATGTTGAAACTATTTTTTTTTGGTTGTTGGATGAATGGGGTTGGATTGTGTTGAATGTTGATGTTATGGTTGTTGACATTATTAATCCTCTTTGAAACATTGTTGAATGCAAATGTTGCTTACTCCCTTGATTCGTTCAATTTAGCATTATTCACTTGCATTCCTTTCCCCAACTTTTTGAGTGTTGCCAAAAGGGGGAGAAGTAGTTGGCTTTCTAAAAATGCATATGTTCAGGGGGAGTTTATTTCCTTTAAATACCTTAATGCATGAACTCAGGGGGAGTTTTTCAAATTGGTTTCAACTCAACATACTTGTGTGCACATGTTTACATTGTTTATCATATTTTGAAAGCCTTATTTGTCAACATCAAAAAGGGGGAGATTGTTGGCCTTGAATGCCGAAACTCACCACGTTTTGATGTGCCAAATAAGTCTTCCAAGTACTAACCTTTTGTAGGCTTAAACGAGACACCCGAACCTCTCCTAACTTGGTTGATTTCATCGAGAAATGATTCACTCGAGTGTAGATTTGAAAAATGCAAGAGCTTGATAAAATGATGTTACACTTATGCCCTTGCACTTAAAAACATTTTCCAAAAGTTTCTAAACATTGCATTGATTGGGTCATTTTTCAAAATCGGGAATAAAATTATTGTTGGGTTAGAACCAGACCAGACGGTACCCTATACCGTGCTAACGGTACCTAGATACTGTTAGGCTAATCGGTACAGCATGTAGGTACCGGCTGGCCAAATTTTTGCTAAGTGCCTAAGTATTCAAACGGTACCCCATACCGCTACATTAAGCAGCTACCGACCGTTAGAACCATAGCTCACCCCAAAATGAACTATGGCGGTACCCGCTACCGTAAACTTTGTTAGGTACCAACCGTTAGAACCATAGCTCAACCCAAAATGAACCCCCTACCGTTTTAATGGTACCCAGGTACCACCTGAGGCTTAGGAAATTCAAATTTTAACTTCCAAACGAGACTTGTCACGGGACCCTATACCGTCAGTAACGGTACCCCCTACCGTGACGGTACCTGACTACCGTTACAGGTACCGAATCCGTTGGGTTACTGTTCCTTATTGATTTAATTAATCCCAATCAACCTAATTTGTCTCCCAACGACTCCTTAACAGTTCAAACACATTTTAAACTTCCTAAACACTATAAATACCCCTCCTAAGCCTCTCTTAAACATACAACAACACTCCTTAACATACATTACATTTCTTAAGCTCATTATTGACCAATTGAGTGTTCTAAGCTTTAAAGTTCTTGATTTTTTCTTCTCTTTTGAATTTAAAGCTTTGATCCTTATATTTTCAACACTCACACACCAAGGGCTTTTGTGTTTCATTTTCTTATATTGCTCATAGGCAATTGTTGTTGTTTTTATATTTTGTTATTCTCCTACCCAATCTTATTATATATTACATTGGTAGAGAAGCAACAAACACTTCTCATTACTTTGTAAAAGGTGTGGATAGCCTTTAAATCCTCATTGTAAGGTTGAAGATAGCCTCTAAATCTTTAGTTGTAAACGGTCGAGATAGCCGATAAAAAATCTCATTTGCTTATTGGCAAGGGTTGTTTGCCATACCTTGTTTGAGTCTTCTTAGTGAAGCCAAACAAGTTAGTGGAGGTTAAATCTTTGAGGAGTAGCCTCAAGGTACTGGAGTAGGGAGTTCCCGAACCAGTATAAAATTGATTGTGCCGTACTTTTCTTTTTCATATTTATCTTGCTCCTTTTCCGCTACTACTTTGCGCCTAAGTTTTTGTTTTTACGAAAAACTCTTAAACACCCTAAATCACCCCCCTCTTAGGGTGTAAACCAACTTTCACCAGGCCACCACCCTGGCCGTAAGAGTCCGCTCATAGGATTGTAGACTGGCCCCACAAACCAACATAAGTCTTTCCCGCGCACTTTGTCCTCACTCGTGTGTGCCCAAGGAATTTCGCAGGGGTCACCCATCCTAAAATTGCTCCTCGTCAAACACGCTTAACTATGGAGTTTCTAGGTGTTGAGCTCTTGAAAAAAATGCATCTTGTTGGTATGAGTAGTACTATCAATCTTTTTAAGCTCTTCTCATTCCCATCTTAATACGGGGTAAAACATTCACCTCTACTTAGGAATGCAATGTCCTCGTTGCATCCTTTTTTTAAACTCTTAGATCTTCCACGCTAGGTGAACTAAACTCTTTTGGCCTATCATAGTCGCAGGGTTGCTCTGATACCATTTGTAACACCCAGGCCCCACCCTAGCCGTAAGTGTTCGCTCATAGGATTGTAGACTGGCCCCACAAACCAACACAAGTCTTTCCCGGGCACTTTGTCCTCACTGGTGCGCGCCCAAGGAATTTCCCAAGGGGTCACCCATCCTAAAATTGCTCCTCGTCAAGCACGCTTAACTTTGGAGTTTCTAGGTGATGAGCTCTCGAAAAGAATATGCATCTTGTTGGTATGAGTAAGCTCTTCTCATTCGCATCTTAAAACTTGGGACAAGCTCTCTAGTACTGTTATTGTTGTTAAGATGCCTTGGGTAATAATGGGTGACTTCAACTCTGTGCCCACTTCAAACAAAATTATAAGCTCCTTCGAGAGTTTCATTTTGGTTCTTTACCTCGATGTTTTTCTTGAACCGACAGGATTAGGGTTCTTGTTATAAATACGGATATTATCATTCAGAAATAATAGCAAGAAAATAGTTTAGCCTTTCTCCTCTAAACCCTAATTCTCCCTCTCTATCTCACATCTTCCTTCTTCCGCCTCAAACCCTTCTTCTCTTAGCATTCTATGGGTAATCCCCGTGACAGAATGTTTTAATTGGTACATTGTACATTCGGATGTATAATAGTAACTTCAAAAATGGATAAAGTTGAAAAACAGACAACATTGGAATGAATATATATGTGTGTGTGTGTGTGTGTGTGTGTGTGTGTGTGTGTGTGTGTGTGTGTGTGTGTATATACGGAGTATATACTATTTTTTATACTTTATATATAATTAATGTTGATACTACAATGTGCCTTGTTAAAGATTGGGTGGGATATGATTTTATAATTCGTGATCACAACAGTAATTTTGTTGCAACAAAAACATTAATAAGGAAGACAACTATGCAATGCATGAAAAAGAGAGGCTTTGAGTTGGACCAAAGATAAAAGATGGATGCATATCATTTTGAGAGTAATGGAAGTGACGATTATTTTGAACACTAGACATCATTGGTGGCACTTTAATTCTAGGAATATACTACGGAGTACTTCCGTCGATGAGTATTTTATCCAATTTTGACTTTTTTCGGTCAACTATTTTTAACTTTTGATTTATAGTTAAATAAAATATATATTGTATACTAATTAGATAAAATAATATTTGAAAATATTTGATATAATAAATCTACTAGAATGATTTTTTTATCAATATTTAATATCATTTCTATTTAATTTGAATTTAAAGTTTACTAATTTTGACATGAGAGAGAGTACTAGACCTCAAGATTTGAAACTCACTTTTAAACTTACCCTCAAGCATATTGTTGATTTTAGACATCTTTTTTTCATTTTGATCTACCATAGCTTATTTCTACATCAGCTCTTTTGATTTCAAAAAAAAACAACTTTCGTATGCTTACATAGTAGCAAAATCTCAGGCGTAGTCCAGAATTCACTACCACCAAGAACCAGGAATAATGCTTCCCATTTCTTCCCTAGACTCCGAAATCCCTAATCCGCTCGGGGAATTGGGTGTTGGCCTGACAGGCACGGATCTCCGGGAGACCGCCTACGAGATCGTAATCGGGGCTTGCAGGAGTTCAGGATCGGGTCGGCCCTTGAAATACGTCTCCAATTCCGCCGATCGGAATGGTTTGGAGAGGTCGGAGTCCATGTCTTCCTTCTTGTTTCAGCGGTCGATGCCGGCTTCTGCTCCTAGCAAGGTGAAGAAGGCGCTGGGATTGAAGTCCAAGAAAAAGAATTGCTCGGATTCGATGGCGGATGCTGGTGAGGATCAGAATTCAATGAGCCGACAGCCAGCTTCCACGGTTGGGGAGCTGATTAGGGTTCAGATGAAGGTTTCCGAGCAAACGGATTCAAGGGTCAGAAGAGGGTTGTTGAGAGTAGCTGCAGGACAGGTCAGTTAATGATGTGCTTATGATGCCTTAGTAGATTGGATTATGGAATAAGATAGTAATTATTTGTTTTTTTCCACAAATTTTATTTCCTGATAAATGTTAATGCGAAAAGCTATAATATTTGATTCCTGATTCTAACAATTTGGTTTAGCCAGATGAGCCTAAGTTCTTATTTCATTTGCCACTCTCGTATTGCATTGCTATGCCTATAAAAATGAGTATAAGATTTGCACTTAAAAGCGAGCATAAATTTTGTGTTAAGGAAAAAGTTATTCCATCATTTGCAGTTGCATCCAGACTTGCAATATGTTATCGTTTTCCTTGACCGCTCCTAAAGTGGACAGCCTAACTGTCAACAGTCAATTGAAGCCTGATTGTACACAATGTTGATTTAAAAGGAAATTGGTATAAGTTGCATTAAAAAGCATTATATCCTGTATGTCATTCAGTAATCAGTGTTTCCTTGTTTGGCTTGATATTAGCTCGGAAGGCGTATTGAATCATATGTTTTGCCAATGGAGCTCTTACAACACCTTAAGATTTCTGATTTTCCTAGTCAGCAAAAATATGAGGCATGGCAGAGGAGGATCTTGATGGTACTTGAAGCGGGGTTACTGTTGCATCCATCCTTGCCCCTTCTCCACACAGACTCGCAGTTTCTACAGCTCAGTGAAATTATACATGGGGCTATGATAACACCCATAGATACAGGGAAGTACAGCAATTCAATGCAAGGGCTCCGCAATGTTGTATTATCTCTCGCATCCAGGTCTTTTGATGGTTCTGTCTCTCAGGTATGCCATTGGGCAGATGGGATCCCGTTAAATCTTCGGCTCTATGAAAAACTTTTAGAAGCATGCTTCGAGGTGGATGACGCAACAACTATAATTGAAGAAGTTGATGAATTCTTAGAAATCATTAAAAAGACGTGGGTAATTCTTGGAATAGACCAAATGCTGCATAACATTTGTTTTTTGTGGGTCCTGTTCCATCACTATGTTATTTCTGGCCAAAATGACGATGATCTGCTATTTGCTGCTGAGATTTTGTTGTTAGAAGTAAATGATGATGCACAAACAGCAAAAGATTCAACTTACGTGAAGCTTTTGAGTTCTACACTTGGCTTGATCCTAGGATGGGCCGAAAAGAAGCTTCTTGCTTATCACTATAACTTTTACAGGAGTAATATTGATATCATGCGAAGTGTATTGTCTATTGCAACTCTAATTGCGAAATTAGTGGAAGGCATGTTTAATGAGTATCATAAGAAGCAAGAAGGTGATGTTGCATACTGCAGAGTTGATAATTACATCAGGTCATCACTGCATAAGGCTTTCACTCAGGCAAGTTACTCTCTTAGCCTTGATTATTTTATCTAGAAATTATTAACATCGTGGCATAGTGCAAATGAACTGCCACTTTCATCATTCATACAATCGTAGCTATATACTCCCTTTGTCCCAAAAATCACATCCCACTTTGAAGTTTGAACATTTCCCACTTAATTTATTTTTCATTTAAAGTACTCAATTGTGACTTAAAATATTTGTCTTAACTAAAAATTTATAATCATGCATTGTTCATTTTTCAACACTTCTCTAAAATGCGGTGAAAGTTAAATTGGGTAATGTTTTCGGGATAGTGAGAGTATATCTATTTGATCTTTTGTTTATCTCAGTTGTACATTATGATGAGAAACATTTGGATGTGTAATTGAACTGCTCGGTCATCTTATCATGTGTTTGAGTTTCAACTTGCAAAATAGTTCATTAGCGAAGAGTCCATCTTCTATTTAATAACTTAGTTTGGTACACGTTTTTTTGTTTGGATATGATTATTCAAAATTCCAGTGAGGAAAGTGAAATTTGTTCTGGTAGTCTAAAAATTAATTGAAAATGCTATAACTTATAAGCAACAAAAAGATGTGTATGGAACAAACACTTTCAGTTACACCCGAAACACTCTTTCTTATTTCAAAAAATAAAATCAACATTTTTTCAAAAATGAAAGCTGTTTTGGTGTTTGAAAAGAACATTGGACCTATTGAAATGAGAATCCTATGGGTACAACACTTGCGTCACTTTGATTTTTTTTTTGTGATTAGAAATGTTATTGGTCCATTTACTTTTAAAATATCTATTTTCTAGATAATTAGAATCTAGAAGTCAAAAACCATGTGCATTTTATGTTTTCCAGATTTAGAAAATAGACTAAAAAAGTAATTTGGACAATGTTTTAGATTTGGTTAAATAATGAACTAGATCCAAGTGGCACATTAAATAGTTGGACGGTCAACTATAGAGGCCGTTCACCTCCTGAGGAGGTTGATGGAGGTGTATATGGCCAAGAAGAGGGACTTACACTAGGTGTTTATTCACCTGGAGACGGCGTTCGACAAGTACTAAGGAAGATCATGTGGAGGTGTCTATAGTTCATGGGGTTGTGATTGCTTAAATTTGTGTAGTCAAAGACATGTATGTTGTGGCGAGGACCAAGGTGTAGATGGTTGGGGCGACTGTTACCCCTTCTCAGTAGAGGGTTTACACCTGCAGATGGCCCTTAGTCTTTCTTGGTTGCATTGGTGATGGGTATACTCTCGTAAGAAAAGAGAACTTAAACCAGAGGAAAACAAGACGAAATGTTCTCCTTCGGTGCTAGAGAGTGAAGTCGACCACAGAGCGAGAGAGAAAAATCAAACAGGAGAGTGAGAGAGAAGTTTGAACCAGACATGCTGGTGGTCTCTTGGGGAAGTAGAAGCCACCGTGAAAGAGTATTAATACTGTTGATTGACCTTGGAAGTGGACGAGGTGCGACTTTAGTATTTCTGACAAGTTTTCTTCTTACCCGGCAAAAGATAAGTTGGATCGCAGAAGTCATGCGATCCTAGCGTTGATCCTTGCATTTTTACACATTAGTACGTTTTGTTCTTAACAATCTAGGGAATTATCTGGTTCTTTCTGTGATCTGAATGCAATTGACCAAATGACAACATGTCGTGTAGACTCATACAATTTCACAAACTAAAACACAATATTGACTAACTTGGGCGGTCCTAACATGTATCCTATAAGAAATGTGTTGGAAACATGATTCCAATACAAAAAATAAAAGATAGAAAATGAAATATTAAAAAACAACAACAATCGAGTATAATCTTAACTCCGTGGGGTTCAAGATGTATGCAGACTTACCCTTGGAGAATCAGAGAGACTATGTCCTTTAGCTCCTACATGCATTGCTGCATTTACTGCCCAAAACTTCATAGAAATAATTTTTATTTAGTCCATTATGTGCCCAAACCTTGAACATTGTCAACAATGACTCTTTTAGATCCATTAGCGATAGACGGAACAAAGAGAAATATGAAGTGGAAAACAGAAAAAGAAATTTATCAGAAAATAGAAAGCATAAGTAAACATACCCTTTCAATTCTTTTTGCTTAAATTATGTCGTGGGATCCAACTGGATGTTGTTTGTATGTCTAATTGGGTATTTTTGGGTTGGCTATGCCATATTTTCTCTTTGTTCCAAATTAGTGGTAATTGTCTTCTGTTACTCATCTACTCTGATACTGCCTAAAAATAAAATGAAATTCCTGCGTGTCTGCGTGTGTGTACATATATATTACTAAATTCTATTCTTCTATCTAAAGACAGGAAAATAAGAAATTGATCTCATCCAGGAACTCTTCTAAGATTCAGCGAAGCTCTATTCCAATCCTTTCAGTCCTTGCGCAGAATACTAGTGATCTGGCTTTTAATGAAAAAGAAATATACAGTCCAGTAATGAAGAGACATCACTCCCTTGCAACTGGTGTAGCTGTGGCTACTCTTCATGTATGCTTTGGGAATGAACTAAAGAAATTTGTTTCCAGCGTCAATGAGTTGACACCAGATGCTGTACAGGTACTTATAGCTGCAGACAAGTTGGAAAAAAATCTTGTAAAGATGGCAGTTGCAGATGCCGAAGACAGTGATGATGGAGGAAAGGCACTAATTCAAGAAATGATTCCTTTTGAGGCAGAAGCTGTAATTTCGGACTTGGTAAAGTCGTGGGTAAGAACAAGGGTAGAGAGACTCAGAGAATGGGTCGACAGAAATCTGCAACAAGAGGTACATCCCCCGTTCCATTTGATCATTTACCTCACTTTGGGTTGAATATAGACATTGTAATCTGAACCACTGACTTTTCTGAAGTGAAAATAAAAACGTTTACGTATCCTTCGAATGGGTTAATTACTACGTTTTTTTTTGTAGATTTGGAATCCTCAGGCAAATCAAGAGCGGGTTGCTCCCTCTGGTGTGGAGACTTTGCGTGTTATTGATGAGACTTTAGAAGCATTCTTCTTGTTGCCAATTCCTATGCATCCTGCCTTGCTTCCCGAGTTGATGAATGGTCTTGATCGGTGCATGCAGAGCTACATATTGAATGTTCAATCTGGATGTGGTAAGTGTGAGGTAGTCATGCAGACACTGCAAGATATGCGTTTTAACATATTATTGGTTCATTCTAAAACTTTTTCCATGATCAAATAATAGGATCTCCAAGTACTTTAACCCCAGCTATGCCAGCATTGACTAGCTGTGCCGCTGGAACAAAACATGGTGTATTCAAGAAGAAAGAAAAACCAAATACGGTTCAGCAAAAAAACCTTCACTTCTCAGATGTGGACAGTACTGATCCCTTTGGATTACCACAGTTATGTGTCCGCATCAATACTTTGCATGTCATACGTAAGCAACTGGATGTATTGGAAAAGAGGACTATTTTGCAGCTGAGAGACAGTGGATGTGTTGTTGATGATGATGATGATAATGTGCCCAATAGATTGGGGAGAAGTTTTGAGCTTTCTATATCTGCTTGTGTGCAAGGTATAAAGCAGCTTTCTGAAGCAGCTGCATACAAAGTTGTCTTTCGTGATCTGAGCCACGTGTTTTGGGATTACCTCTATGTGGGTAATGTTTCATCATCCCGCATTGAACCATTCCTTCAAGAGCTTGATCTAGTCTTGGAGTTCATATCATCAACTGTTCATGACAGAGTGCGGACCCGCGTGATCACTGATGTAATGAAAGCATCATTTGAGGGGATTTTGTTGATTTTGCTTGCTGGCGATCCTCCCCGTGCCTTTTCTGTTCAAGATGCTGCCACAGTAGAGGAGGATTTCAAGTTTCATGTGGATTTATTCTGGTCTGACGGCCATGGCCTTCAAGCTGATCTAATCGACAAACATTCTGTAAACATAAAAGGCATTCTTCATCTTCTTCATACTGACACAGAGAGTCTCATCACACAATTCCATCTTCTGATTGAAGATAATTATAATCCCTCAGGCAAAACCGGCAAAACCATGCTGCCATTGCCTCCCACCACAGGTCACTGGAGCCCAACTGAGCCCAACACTGTTCTTCGTGTTCTGTGTCATCGCAATGACAAGGCTGCAACAAAGTTCATCAAGAAGAACTACAACCTGCCAAAGAAACTCTAACAAAATACTATATGTATACAACATACTCTTCCTCCCACATTCAACAGGGAAGCACTATCTTACTCTTGTATATGATTTTATATTACGTAATCTTGTTTTCAGAGAGATAGGAACTTGATGCTGAGAAATCCATCAGAGAACTGAAAGTCGGGCACCCTTCGGGCAGTTGGACCGTAAGGTGGCTTCAAGACTTCCATGTAGTTCTACCGTGTGTGCTGATGTGGCTGGACTGACCGGTAACACTGTTACTTTACGGCGATGGATTTCTTTTATTACTTCCTACCAACTTATTAAGTTAGTGTAATGACTCATGAGATATGGCACTTTTCTGTTTTGGTTGTTGTGTTAGTTTTTCATGCACCTTAAACCTTGATGTATATTGGCTTTTTTCTAATAATGGCTTATTCAAATAATCTTTCATTTTGTTTTGTTTTGCTTCTTTCATAAGTTCTCTTGTAACTGACATTCAAGCTGTCATACTTCATCCTGAATTAATCGTCTGGCTTTTCTTTTCAATATGCAAAAAGTGTCCTGAATTAATCGTCTTGCTTTTCTTTTCAAAACGTAAAAAGGAAGAGATTCATAGAACGGTGGTAGGGGCAAATTGAGCTTTTGCACATTTTTGTTAAATTCGAATTGGTCAAGAGAAAATGAAAGAATAGATATTCTGGATCAGCTCTACCCTCTTGGGGACTTTCTTAACCAAGGAATAAGGTTTGATTCATAGCGTAAAGATTTCATTCCAAAAACGGATTTTATTAGTTATTGAGTTACTAATTCATGAGATCGCATGTTATTTAGTTTTCTATCCCACCATTTTTAAAAGATTACCACAATTTGAATTTTTGGTCAAATTGTGGCATCTTTTGACCGCGAATTATAGAAAAAATATATTTCGTTATAATGTAAATTTAGTAAAATTAGATTGATTTTAAAATATAGTTTTGAAATATCAATTTTTTCTAATAATTAATTATTTCAAACTACTTTTAATTCATGGTCAAAGTGTCATAATTTAACTAAAAAAGTCAAAGGGGGCGGAGGGAGTAACAAAGTGCAGTAAAAAATTGTGGGATATAATTTTTTTTCTTGCTTCTACAGTATTTCTACTTTTTATTTTTAGATATTTTTCTTAAATTTTACAAAATTAAATTGTGTCAATTAATTCGGGGCGGAGGGAGTAATGTTGATTGACACTATTACTTGTATAATGAATGATAAATGTTATTGTGGATCCAATCGGGATGTTATTGTAATGATAAATATCCTCTCTGCCACATAGTATTTGTTTAATTTTGATTTTTTACAATCAATCAAGACTAATTAATATCCTCTCTGTCACAGTATTTGTCTTATATACCTATAAGTATATAAAAATTACATGGTATATTTATTAGTAGATAAAATAATATTTTAAGAATATTTTATGATATCAATCAAATAATAGTTTTTTGCATCATATTTAAGATAACATCTAATTTTAGTTGATAGCATAAATTATTTGGATGGGATTAATTATTTCGTCCCTGTTGGGATATCAAGTTAAAGATCTTGTTTTTGTATAGTTTAATTCTATTAAAGTCTCATTTGATTTAATTTGATTTGGCCTGATTTGATTACAATTAGAATAAGCAATAACTAATTATCAAAATAAAAACGTGTTTTGTTTGGAAGGGAGAAATTCAATAACGACATGTTTTCAAATCTAGATTTTACTCAAATTTCATGTTAAAATTAACCTAATTCATTACAAAGTTCGATTACAAATCCATGTCTCTTCTTGTGATTTGAAATTTAATAATTTAAATTTTGAAATTAAAATGCAAAATTAAAATAAACTATTAATTCCCGAACAGTATTTATGAAGAGATGATTCTCATATAATACCCTCATTTTACTCCATACTAGTATCACACCCGTGCGCTGCACGGGTCATACTTACGTTACTAAAATAAAATCATTTTTAATGATAAATTATGATATGTAATAGAATATAGAGATTTTATTATTTTAAAGTACAAAAGTTTTTTGCTTAGAAATTTCAAACGACTTTTTGTAAACTGCATTATTCGTACAACTTGTGAGAACATTGTGTTCGTTGCATATTGAAATCTTCAAGCCACTATAATTTGTTACTCTATTATTATTATTACGTTTATTATAATGATTATTATTATTACACGGTACCATATTATTACCATATTCTTTTTATTCTTTCACATGCTACCTTTCTTATTATGCATGGTACCAAAATCTATAACGTATGAAATTACCTTATTAATAATTAATAATTAATAATTAATACGGAGTAATTAATAATTAATAATTAATAACTAATAATTAATAATTAATAATTAATAATTAATAATTAATAATTAATAATTAATAATTAATAATTAATAATTAATAATTAATAATTAATAATTAATAATTAATAATTAATAATTAATAATTAATAATTAATAATTAATAATTAATAATTAATAATTAATAATTAATAATTAATAATTAATAATTAATAATTAATAACAAATAATTAAGGTTTCACATGTTACATTTTTTATTACACAATACCGGAAAAATATAAGGTATGAAATTACCTTATTAATAATTGATAATTAATTTTATAATATATAATTTTGGTAAAAAAATATAAGGTGTGAATATATTTTTTTAAAATCAAGTCAACACTTTGATTTATTTTATACATGGTAAAAGCACAAAACTAACATACTTTGATTATTATTACGTTTATTATTATATTATGATGATTATTAGTATACGGTACCATATTATTTTCATATTATTATTATTATTATTATTATTATTATTATTATTATTATTATTCTAAATTTTACCCTTTTTATTACACGTACAAAAAAATAAGGTATGAAATTACCTTATTAATAATTAATAGTTAATATTATAATTTATAACTTTGGTAAAATATATAAGGTATGAGAATATATTTTTTTAAACCAAGTCAACACTTTCCTTTGCTTTTATACACAGTAATAGTACAAAACTAACTTAGCTTTATTACTATTATTACGTTTATTATTATGATTATTATTATTATTATTATTATTATTATTCGGTACCATATTGTTACCATGTTATTATTCTTTCGTATGTTACCTTTTTTATTATAGTCGGTACAAAAAATTGTAAGGTATGAAATTAACTTATTAATAATTAAAGTTTCACATTTACCATTTTTATTACGATGTACCAAATTTATGAGGTACGAAATTACTTCATTAATAATTCATAATTTAAAATTAAGTTCCACATGTTACATTTTTTATTATACACGGTACCAATAATAATTATTACGTTTATTATTATTATTATTATACGGTATCATATTATTACCATATTAATATTAAAGTTTCACATGTTACCTTTTCTATTATTATTATTATTACATGGTACCATAATAATTAATAATTAATAATAACTATGAAATAAAAGTGAGAGAGCAAATAATCATAAAATTACCTTAGCTTGTACACGGCAGTTACCATTTCAAGTTTTAGAACTTATCGTTTGTGACTAAAATGTTTAGGCGGGAAAATAGAATGAAGAATTCCCCTCTTTTTAAATATAGTATAGATAGATTTGAGGGATTAAAAATAAAGAATTTATTCCCAAAGCATATTTATTTAACAAACAAATCTCTTATATATCCTTTAATTCACCTTCCCTTTCTCTCATTCTCTTCTAACCAGGGAGGGAATAGTAAAACCAAAATTAATTTACATCATATAGTAAACCAAAAGTCCAAAACTACTCATCATACCAATCATATTAATTCTTTAAACTCTCAACAGAAGCTGAAACCCACTTTTTGTGGTTACCTATTTCTTAAAATTAAAAATTAAAAAAAAAAACTGAAACCAGAAAAGTTCCCGCCAGAACGGGCCTAAGATGATGAAAGGGAGAGATTCCTATGAAGCTGTATATGTTCACATTTCAAGCTATATATGTCAATATCCGGTAAGAATGGTGACTGAAGCAACCACATTACCTCATTGATCAGTCTCAAATCACTCTCCAGAATGCGGGACCCACGTGGGCCCGGGGGAAAGGTGGAGAAAATCTGAACCTGTGGTGGTTTGGTGGAGTGGAAGTGTTCATAATGCTTCTTTGATGCTGAATGTTTTTGAAATTTCCCTGGCGTGATCGTATTCGTTGAGCTCAACCAGCATCTTCTTCAGCCTGCGAGCAAGTTTTCCGGTCTCCACCTCTGCTCCGGTCGCCAAATGCTTCTTCTCCAGAGCTTTACTCAGTCTTAGCAAATAATCAAGCAATGGCTGGAGCTTAGGACTGCATGAATGAAAACAAGAAATTAAAGAAAGAAGCCATTATGTTATTATTGTCCATTGACGCCAGTAGAGTGTGTGTTGAAGAAAAACCCGAACATCTAAACTTCAAAAGTTCCATTTAACCTACAAACTAACAAGAAAGAACCTGATAATGACCCGGCCTTTTAAACTGGCACAGATTGATCCTTAGCATTTGGCCGCCGCCTCAGACACTAGAAATCAAAATGACCCACTTAGGCCCTCACACATGCCCCACATAAGCAGGGACCAGAAACATATTTCACATCAATTTTGGCACTCGAGGATCGATTTTCAGACTCATTTCACATCATCAAATGAAATGACATGGGATTATTGATGGGATTATTCATGTGAAAATGAGATGAGATGTGATTGTCAATTTTCAGTCTTATTTCACGTTTCTTGCACCACCAATTTTCAGACTTAATTCACATTTTCACTTTAAGTACATGCAAAAGCTTTGGTGTTTTTCAAAACAAAAACCTCAGGTTACAGTGTTGAATAATTATCATGGATGGAGACTGTAATGCTTCACAAAGGAACTTGTGTGTTGAATAATTATCATGGAAGGAGACAGTACTGCTTCACAAATTAACTTGGGTGTCGGGGACTCCTTGCAGCCTCTATGTATCAAATTGAATTTAAAAATGCTAAAATGCCTCAACTATACAAACTAAATCAATCATATAAGGGTATTTGGAGTACTCTTGTTGTACATTTTGAGAATCCAAAGGGCAAAAGTGATCAAATTGACAGTTGAGAACCAATCATGGGCATGACACTATAGTCAAGACACAAAGAGCAGCTTAGGTACTTGTTGGCCTTATGGCACTGCGATTACACTCAAGACTCAGGTACATGGGGATTACATGGATGGCTGTCTAGCGAAAGATATGAAGGTGAGCACCATGGCATCACGGTTACATAAGTTTTGAAATTTGTTAATTTATTCATTGAGATGTGCAGCAAAAACAACAGCAACCCAATTGAATCCAACGAGATTAGGGTGGTGTGTGTGTGTGTACGCAGACCTTACCCTTACTCAAAAATAGGGAGATGTGCG